CTGCCTGCAGTGGGCAATAGATAGCCGGCACTAAGGAGTGAAGGCAGAGTGTCCTTCCTCTCTCCCCTTGTCATATGACTTATCACATGACCGAAGGAGGGAAAGAAGGAGAAGCTGTATTCATGAGAAGATCTGTGAGTACAAGGGGGAAGGGTGAGGGTGAGGTTATACTTATGGGGACACCTGATGTAAAGGGGGACTCTGATGGGAACACCTTATATAAAGGGGACTCTAATGGGGACACCTGATGTAAAGGGGGACTCTGATGGGAACACCTTATATAAGGCTAGACATTCTGAAGGATCCTCTGCACACTGGTATATACCCTTTCAAGCAGACTATGCAGTAAATAGGGATATTTAGTTCACACATATTGCAATACAAGCTTAAGCTGGCCAACTACATCAAAGTAATCCCTCTATGGCCAGTCCTACTCTGCTCTGCCTTGTTCGGTCAGTAGTCAGACCTGAACCTTGTAGCTCTCCCCATTGTGTCTTTTCCCCTATGCTAGCATTGTGTCCACAGTAGCATTTGCGAAGGCAGAGCAGAGTAGGACTGGCCATAGAGGGATTACTTTGACACAGTTGGCCAGCTTAAGCATGTATTGCAATATGTGTGAACTAAATATCCCTATTTATTGCATAGTCTGCTTGAAAGGGTATATATACCAGTGTGCAGAGGGTCCTTTAGAATTTCTAGTGTTAATATGTGGTTACACCCCTTTAGCACCTGATGGATAAATGCATGCACTAGCTGTTAGGATTTGAGCACGGGTATCTCGTTTCTTGTTTGTAACCTTATATAAGGGGGACTCTGATGGGAACACTTGATATAAAGGGGGACTCTGATGGGAACACTTGATATAAAGGGGGACTCTGATGGGAACACCTTATATAAAGGGGACTCTGATGGGGACACCTGATGTAAAGGAGGATTCTGATGGGGACACTTATGTTCATTTTCTGTTTACATTCTTTTATGTTAACCACTTGCCCTCTAGACTCTATTAAGCTATTGCTGTTATGTTTAAATTGACATAATAAAGCTATGTTATAATTGCTGTTTTTTATATTTGGGATTCTTTATTCTAAAACAAAATAAATTTCATAAGCTTTCAGGGGGTGTGGCTGGAGGCGAACCTGGGCAAGGTTTGGGGGGGCAACTGGTGGAGAGTAAGGTTTTTGCCTGGCTAGTAGGTCTAGACTTGAAATTTTAAGCCCTGATCTAGATCAAACCTTGATGTAGCTATTTTTTTAATTTGTAATATTATTATTATTTTTTTTACACACTTTTGTTTGTTTACATCTTGCTCTCCTGCATACAATGTATCTTTTTCTCCAGAAGAGAAAGAAGAAAACACAGGTGTGGGCTGCACAGTGACTGGTCTCTGATAGCCAATCAGAGGCTTTCATTAGAATTAGGTAACCAGGAACCAGTCTCTGTCCTGGGAGTGCACTGTGCGGTGTGCTTCCAGCACAAGGACAGGTACACATGTATGAGGACTCACGGATGATGACCCACTTCCATGATGCTGCACATGCTTTTGGCTCCCAAGGGGTTATAAAACACACCTAAAGCAGCACATTGCACTAGTGTTTAGGAGTGTCAAGGGTTTGCGCACTAATGGATGCTGCTAAACAGATTATTACTTTATTCTGGCCATTGGAATGCATTAATGATCAATCACTTGACACATCTAGTTTTTAGGCACATTCAGCATTTGTTCTGCTCTTCAACACCTCTCCTGCAAGCAACTGTAAACTCTCCTTTTCAAATATGCCTATATATGCTTGGACACATAGACCTATATAGAGGTGCTTTCACAGGCTGAAAAAAAGCCCAACAGCTGTAAAAGTGATGAGTGTGCATGAGGTCTTAGGCTTATGTATATGGCCGTAGAAGAGCCGTACAGCATGCATAGTGAATGCCTACAAATGTGGTGTTTTTGGTGTCCGTGTGCAAGAGCCTATATAGAAAATGCAACTGTGCATAGTTATGTACAGGGGTTGCGAAAAGCACTCACACATGCATGGACTTATATTCCAAACACACTATTTTTTGTGCACAAGTTTTGAGTATTGTCTGGTGGAAAAGTCAAGAGCGTATGTGTGAGTCCAGGGCAGTAGTGCTGCAAGTGAAAGCCAGGTTTTAGGTGAAGTATATGTTTTGCCTGTGGGAAAGAATTGCTGATTGACTCCTGTGAAGATAACCATTTTGTGTGTCTTGAACTTATTTTTATTAAAAGGGAGCAAGAAAAGGTTGGCATCTTTGGAGAGTTTTGGCTCATAAACTGACCACAGCTAATCAGCCAGTTTTTTTTGTGGCCATAGCACAGAGTGTTGCTGCGTCCAGTGGTTTAACCTCCCCTGAAAACAGGAAATGGCCTGAGGCTAAACAGCCATGTGAATATAGCTTAAAGTGTTACTAAACCCAGGCCCCTGCATTCACTAAATCTGCTCTCCCTCAGTACACAGAAAATGGAAGTGCAATTATTTTAGTAAATATAAACTGCTAAATACCGTTTCTCATCAGAAGTTAGTGCAGTCTTGTGGCTTCTATCAGTGTTCAGCCAAGCACTAGCTAAAGCCTGCAGGAGGTGTTTTCTTTCTGCTCTAGGATGATGCAAAACTCCTGATCTCTGTCTGACCAGTGCTGATTGGCCCTGTGCTGATCACATGCACTCTCCCAAGAAAAATAAAAAACCTCTCTAGCAATACACACCAAACTGAGCATATACAAAATGCCTATGGTTCAGTCTATCTTATCAAGAGACAACAAGGGGAGGAACACAGCAATCTGGAACAAATGGCCATTTTACACAATGCAGAGGATTAACCCCTTAGGTTCCACGTGAGTGTAACAAGCATGTTTTACTGCATATACAGGCTGATTTTACTGTTGTGGATTTAGAAACACTTTAACTCTCTCACTTATCCAATGTTGTCTTTTTCTCTTGTCTTTCATGGGTCAAAGATGAACTCTAAGAATTATGCAAGAAGTCTGTGTTCCAAGCTTTCATCCTTGGGCACATACCACCATAAATGTAAGTAACAATGAGTTTATCACCCAGCCCCTTTAAGCTAGAGCAGCTGTCAGCCTCTCCTAGAGTTTGACAAGCTGCTGGTAGTGTGGCTGGATTGTGCACCTGTACCTTCCTCCCATAGCTAGCATGGAGTCCAATGCACTGGCACTTGGGCCCTGATTTACTATTGTGCCTAGGCGCATTTCCGTGGGCTAACGTCTACTTTTCAATAGTGACTGTCTACTTTTAGACGGCAAAGACATTTACTAAAGAAAGCGTCAACAAGTAGACACGAAATCGAATTTACTAACCAGGTACAATCCAGGAATCAGTCTAAGAAAGCAGACTTGCTAAGAAGCACGTATAACACAATAAAAAAGCACTGCAGAGACATGTTCACATTGAAATTTGCTTTCACAAATATCGGGACTTCACTGTAAACAATATCTTACATTTCAAAAAATGTTTTAAATGTGTAAAAAATAGTTTTTAAAGGAATTCATGACAGTCAAGAACTAGACGCTTTTCCAGCGTCTATGCACAGATATAAATGCGCATGTGTAGAACACATTTTAGCCGTCTGCCGTGGGCGCTTTTTTTTTAGACGCTGTTTAATAGTAAATCTCAGTGTGGAGTCCTCTGACAGATGGCACTTGATCACGTCTACTGTACTATTTGTAGCTAGGCATATCTTTATGTATTCTAATTTGATTTCCTTAGTTCTGTTGATTCTGTTTTTGTTTCTTATCCTTTATAATTATTTCTGTAATGGTTTTACATATTTCGAAGGTCTATATAATATATATTTTTACAGCTGAATCTAAAAACAAAGGTCAGAAATTAAAAAAAAATGGTGTGGGGGTCCCCCCTCCCATCCATACCAAGCCCTTTGGGTCTGGTATGGATCTTAAGGGGTAACCCCACGCCAAAATAAAAAAAAAATGGTGTGGGGTTTCCCTCAAATCCATACCAGACCCTTATCCGAGCATGCAGCCTGGCAGGTCAGGAAAGGGAGGGGACGAGCAAGCGCCCCCCCCCCCCCCCCCTGCTGAACCATACCAGGCCACATGCCCTCAACATGTTGATGGGGACAAAGGGCCTCTTCCCCACAACCCTGACTGGTGGTTGTGGGGGTCTGCGGGCGGGGGGGTTTATCAGAATCTGGAAGCCCCCCCAGATCCCGCCCCCCCCCACGTGAATGATTATGGGGTATATGGTACAGCTACTCATTCACAAAAAAACAAAAAGTGTAGTGTAAAAAAAGACAGGACACGGTCTTTGACAAGTCCTTTAACCACTTCCCGCCCGGCCTATGGCCGAATGGCGGCCGGCAAAAACTCTCACCTTTCCAGGTGGCGTCCTTTTGGGCATGCGCAGTTTGCGCGCCTGCAGAGCCGCACAGTGGTGCAATCTGTCACTGGCCGTGTACCTCGGACACGGCCGATGACAGATCTGTGTACCAGCCCCGTTGCTTGTACCATGTGACCTGCTGTGACCAATCACAGCAGGCCACATGACAGTTTTATACAATGGATGGCTTCATTCATGCCATCCATTGTATACTAGTGTATCTAGCTGTGAATGGTCACAGCGATCACATGCACAAGCTGGGCCAATCACAGCCCAGCTGTGTGATGTGATTAGCCGTGGCCAAATCACAGCTAAGCACAAAAAAAAAAACCCCTGAATGAATCGATCTCATTCAGGTAAATGCTTGCTTATAGCAAATTGTGTAATGGTACTATGGTAACATTGTACTACTTTGGTCATAGTGAAATATGAAAAAAAAAATTAAAACAAATTTTTTTGCCATATACTGTAGTATATGAGATTATCAGGTGTCCACAAACTTTTGATCATATAGTGTATATATATACACTATATTGCTAAAAGTATTGGGACACTCCTCCACATCATTGGATTCAGGTGTTCCAATCACCTCCATGGCCACAGGTGTATAAAATCAAGCACCTGGGCATGCATACTGTTTCTACAAATTATTTGTGAAAGAATGGGTCATTCTCAGTGAATTCAAGCCTGGTACTGTGATAGGTTGTCACCTGTGCAATAAGTCCATCCGTAAAATTTCCTTGCTACTAAATTTTCCACGGTCAACTGTTAGTGGTATTATAACAAAGTGGAAGCAACTGGGAATAATAGCAACTCAGCCACAAAGTGGTAGACCACTAAAAATGACAGAGCAGGGTCAACTCATGCACAGTGCGAAGAAGTCGCCAACTGTTTGCAGAGTCAATAGCTAAAGACCTCCAAACGCCGTGTGGCCTTCAGATTAGCACAACAACAGTGCATAGGGAGCTTCATGGAATGGGTTTCCATGGCCAAGCAGCTGCATCCAACCCTTACATCACCAAGTGCATTGCAAAGCATCAGATGAAGTGGTGTAAAGCACATCATCACTGGACTCTAGAGCAGTGGAGACGTGTTCTCAGGAGTGATGAATCACACTTCTCTGTCTGGCAATCCGATTGATGTGTCTGGGTATGGTGGTTGCTAGGTGAACGGTACTTGCCTGACCGCATTGTGCCAAGTGTAAAGTTTGGTGGAGGGGGGACTATGGTGTGGGGTTGTTATTCAGGGGTTGGGCTCGGCCCCTTAGTTCCAGTGAAGGGTACTCTTAAGGCATTAGCATAGCAAGACATTTTGGACAATTTCTTGCTTCCAACTTTGTGGGAACAGTTTGGCGATGGCCCTTCCTGTTCCAACATGACTGCACACCAGTGCACAAAGCAAGGTCCATAAAGACATGAAGGAGTTTGGGGTGGAGGAACTTGACTGGCCTGCACAGTCCTGACCTCAACCTGATAGAACACCTTTGGGATGAATTAGAGCGGAGACTGTGAGCCAGGCCTTCTCGTTCGTCACCAGTGCCTGACCTCACAAATGCACCTCTGGAAGAATGGTCAAACATTCCCATAGACCAGTGTTTCTCAACTCCAGTCCTCATGGACCCCAACAGGTCATGTTTTCAGGATTTCCATTATTTTGCACAGGTGATTTGATCAGTTTCACTGCCTTAGTAATTACCACAGCTGTTTCATCTGAGGGAAATCCTGAAAACATGACCTGTTGGGGGTCCATGAGGACTGGAGTTGAGAAACACTGCCATAGACACACTCCTAAACCTTGAGGACAGTCTTCCCAGTGGAGTTGAAGCTGTTATAGCTGCAAAGGGTGGGCCAACTCAATATTGAACCCTACGGACTAAGACTGGGATGCTATTAAAGTTCATGTGCATGTAAGGGCAGGTCCCAATACTTTTGCCAATATAGTGTGTTTGTGCATATGTACTGTGTGTATATACAGTCAGGTCCATAAATATTGGGACATCAACACAATTCTAACATTTTTGGCTTTATACACCACCAAAAATGGATTTGAAATGAAACGAACAAGATGTGCTTTAACTGCAGACTGTCAGCTTTAATTTGAGGGTATTTACATCAAAACCAGGTGAACGGTGTAGGAATTACAACAGTTTGCATATGTGCCTCCCACTTGTTAAGGGACCAAAAGTAATGGGACAGAATAATAATCATAAATCAAACTTTCAATTTTTAATACTTGGTTGCAAATCCTTTGCAGTCAATTACAGCCTGAAGTCTGGAACGCATAGACATCACCAGACGCTGGGTTTCATCCCTGGTGATGCTCTGCCAGGCCTCTACTGCAACTGTCTTCAGTTCCTGCTTGTTCTTGGGGCATTTTCCATCAGTTTTGTCTTCAGCAAGTGAAATGCATGCTCAAACGGATTCAGGTCAGGTGATTGATTTGGCCATTGCATAACATTCCACTTCTTTCCCTTAAAAAACTCTTTGGTTGCTTTTGCAGTATGCTTTGGGTCATTGTCCATCTGCACTGTGAAGTGGCGTCCAATGAGTTCTGAATCATTTGGCTGAATATGAGCAGATAATATTGCCCGAAACACTTCAGAATTCATCCTGCTGCTTTTGTCAGCAGTCACATCATCAATAAATACAAGAGAACCAGTTCCATTGGCAGCCATACATGCCCACGCCATGACACTACCACCACCATGCTTCACTGATGAGGTGGTATGCTTAGAATAATGAGCAGTTCCTTTCCTTCTCCATACTCTTCTCTTCCCATCACTCTGGTACAAGTTGATCTTGGTCTCATCTGTCCATAGGATGTTGTTCCAGAACTGTGAAGGCTTTTTTACATGTCGTTTGGCAAACTCTAATCTGGCCTTCCTGTTTTTGAGACTCACATCTTGTGGTGAACCCTCTGTATTCACTCTGGTGAAGTCTTCTCTTGATTATTGACTTTGACACACATACACCTACCTTCTGGAGAGTGTTCTGGATCTGGCCAACTGTTGTGAAGGGTGTTTTCTTCACCAGGGAAAGAATTCTTCGGTCATCCACCACAGTTGTTTTCCGTGGTCTTCCGGGTCTTTTGGTGTTGCTGAGCTCACCGGTGCGTTCCTTCTTTTTAAGAATGTTCCAAACAGTTGTTTTGGCCACGCCTAATGTTTTTGCTATCTCTCTGATGGGTTTGTTTTGTTTTTTCAGCCTAATGATGGCTTGCTTCACTGATAGTGACAGCTCTTTGGATCTCATCTTGAGAGTTGACAGCAACAGATTTCAAATGCAAATAGCACACTTGAAATGAACTGTGGACCTTTTATCTGCTCATTGTAATTGGGATAATGAGGCAATAATACACACCTGGCCATGGAACAGATGAGAAGCCAAGTGTCCCATTACTTTTGGTCCCTTACAAGTGGGAGGCACATATGCAAACTGTTGTAATTCCTACACCGTTCACCTGATTTGGATGTAAATACCCTCAAATTAAAGCTGTCAGTCTGCAGTTAAAGCACATCTTGTTCGTTTCATTGCAAATCCATTTTGGTGGTGTATAGAGCCAAAAATGTTAGAATTGTGTCGATGTCCCAATATTTATGGACCTGACTGTATATATATATATATATATAGTGACAGTAGGCAAGTAAAATCACCTGGTTGCATCCAGGATGGCAGGTACATTTGTCCTAGATTCAGGCTACTAGGGGGAAGTGCTGAGCTCTTCAGCAGTGAGGTAATGAGCCCAGCTGAAGCAAGTGGGCTCATTAGGGCCTCTATAAAATTTCCCAGCCTGCATAGGGAGTTTGCACCATCCTGGAACCAGTTCTGTGCCTGGGGAGTATCATAGCTGGCTGTCTGGTGAGACAAACGTCTGTGTGGCCAACCTCTAAATAGCAGGGAGATAGGGACTGGGTGCAACGCAAGGCTGCACCTACCGTATTTTTCGCCGTATAAGACGCACTTTTTCTTCACCAAAACTGGGGGGGAAATGTCAGTGCGTCTTATAAGGCGAATATGGAGCGGTCGGTCCGGTATTTCCACCGTGGCCGTGTCAGAATACCGGGCCGGCCGCTCAGCTCTGCAGCGGGACCTTACCTGTTCCTCTATCCAGCGGCGTGCTGTCTTCCCGGCTTCTGTAGTATGGGCACTGGGCATGACAGCCGGGTGCCCAGTGCGCATGCGCGAGAAGTGGTGCGCTTTGTGAATGGTAAGGCGGTACCTGGGACACATGACAGATCCCAGAAGCCGCCGGACCAATCACAAAGCGCAAGTGCTTCTCGCTCATGCGCACTGGGCAGCCGGCTGTCATGCCGAGCGCCATTACAGAAGCCAGGAAGACAGCGCGCGGCTGAATCGAGGAACAGGTAAGATCAAAAACTCTGTGGAAGTAAGAGCGGGTACCTGTCAAATTCAGGTACCCGCTCCCCAATTCCCCAAAGGTCAGCAGTCATCTGTACTGTCCGCAGTCTCTGGTCATCCCTGTGCTGTCCGCAGTCTCTGGTCATCTCCTGTACTGTGTCTGCAGTCTCTGGTCATCTCCTGTACTGTGTCTGCAGTCCTTTAGTTCAGAATTTTTTTTTTCCTGTTTTCTGCATCTTATGGGCAGGTGCGTCTTATACGGCGAAAAATATGGTAGTTGATAGTGAGGGAAGCTGTGTGTATAGTAAGTGGCCAACTTGGCAAGGATTTATTTTCATGTTTATTTTTGTTTCAATGTTTTTCCTCTTGTTAATAGTGTAAATAAACCACACCTTTTTTTTTCTCACCTAAATTGCTGTGCCTGTTTTTGTGTTGTAAACTCATCCATAGGGTCACACACACCTGCTGCCAAGCTAACCCCAGTACAATATATATATTATGATCCTTTATAAGTGTAAGGCTGCCCATACATTATACAATTATCTTCCAATTTTCTGCCCAATTTCCTTTAGATTTACCTTCAACTGTGTAGTGCAAGGGCCTGCCTAATTGGATACAACTGAAAGTGTTGCTTAGGTTTGTCCTCCTATTATATGGTTTTTGGTAAATCTAAACCGAAAATCTCCAGATAATTGTATAATGTATGGCCAGCCTAAGTCTGTTGCTAACAATGAATACATATACATTTTTCTGTAGTCTTTATTACAGTACAAAAGTGCCATCTAGTGGAATTCTTGCTAAACACCAATACAATACAACAAGACCAGTGGTTTTCCTTTGATGGCAAGGAATGAAAAAGGAAAATCATCTGCTGCTGCTGGTCCAATGAGTCTTTTCTTCGCTTTGATAAATGATACTAAAACAGATACTTAGAAAAAATATTTTTTTCTTGAAAATATGGTAGTATTATTTACACATTTGAAAAACAATTTGAATAGTTTTACAAAGAAATAAATGTGTACAATAAGCAATACACACTTTAGGAAAAAAAAATATATATAGTCAGATATCGCCTGATGTCATCACACTTGTCATTGAGTATCAATAATGGGTAAAGTTTTCAGGCTTCCAAGAAGGAGTAAAAGTGCATTAATTAGGAACATCTAAAATAAACTACAATATTACATCTGTATAGATATGTATTATTGATCAATCATCATGAAGGGTGGTAATAACCAAAGGTAAGGCATATTGGCAGGAGGGGAGGGGCCAGTTCCTGTGACCAATAACCTTTGTTATAATTTGCATTACAAAATGTAATGGATTTTTGAGGTTCAAAGGTTAAGATTTGCTTCAAGATGCATGCATATTTTTTAATTATAATTATTGATTTGGTCTGTTTGACAGTACTACACACACACACCCAGTACAGCTGGATGAGGAGAGGATTCATTTGGGGTGGTAACCAGGAGATGCTGGCTAGCTATCCGAGAAGAGAATTTTTGCTGTTAAAGAGACGTGCATATAGTTCCAGGAAGATTGTCCTCAGTAGCTGTTCCCTTTCAGCATTCCATACATTCCTTAATATAATCCAATTGCCCTAATAAAATCCAAAAAGACAAGCTACTGTCTCCTGAATGCAAGTTTGT